CTGGAGGTTTCTTCCTGTTAAAAGGGAGTTTTTCCTTCCCACTGTCGCCAAAGTGCTGCTCATAGGGGGTCATATGATTGTTGGGTTTTCTCTGTATGTATTATTGTAGGGTCTACTGTACAATATAAAGCTCCTTGAGGTGACTGTTGTGATTTGGTGCTGTGTAAATAAAGCTGAATTGAATATGAAAAACAAAAATGAGAACTGAAACAATGTTTTACAAAACAAACACATATTGACGTCTTTCCTTTTAAACTTTGACACAATAAGCATGAAGCACATGATCAACTGCTTTCAGTAACATCTGTGCGTCACCTGATTTGTCACAAAACAAGCGTTAATCTTGCACAAAGATAACCTGAGTAAAAGCAAAATGCAGTTTGATTTCATTGTTTAACCAACACAAGCTATCCAAACCTGCACCTAGGTGAAAACGTAATTACCCAGAATTCATAGTTCCATCAACTGTCCAAGCTCTGAAGCAGTAAAGTAATGAGCCTGTTACCCTCTGCAGCTGATCGTGGCACCGTGTTGAGCTCTTGTAGCGTAGGTCTTTGTGTTATTGAGGCGATCAGGCTGTGACTCGTAAACACCGAGCTAAATCCATGATCTTACAATGGGACTCTTTTCCCCTTTAAGGACTCAACATGCCACCACAGAGACTGATCCTAGGAATCAGGTGTTGCTGGCACAGTTACTCGTTAGGTTAAGACTGGGAGAGGCTGGGAATATTTCCCACATGGTGCTTAGATACTGGAGAAACCTTTGTTTTAATTCACACAGTAAAGTTTAAAATGTATTTTTTGCTCTTAGTTATTTGAACACATAAAAAAGCAGCAAAAAAAAATTGTTCTCATCTTTCTGGCCTCTTTAATCATCTTGAAATTACAATGTCAGAAAAAGAAAAAGTGTTCTAAAAAATCTGGTTGGATTAAAATACATAAAAATCATGTTTCAACAACGAAACATTTTGATGGGTATAATTTCTGTGGAAACTGAATCCAGAAACGAATTCTTTGCTTGTGTACAGTCCACCTTTACGGGCATTTTAATAAAGCCATGCAGCAACGTTTTCACTGAACTGCTGAAGCTTCAGCTGTAACGTGAACAGGTTACAACTGCAAACCTTCATTTGTAGCCAAGACAGTGAAAACACAAGCAAACAGACTCCTGCTCATCTCAAAGTAGAGCTCTGCTCGTATCCACCAGATAATTACACGCTGCTCCTCTGAGTCAGGTAAGACCCAGTGATAATAAGTGCTTCACATATAACAAAAGGGTTTCTGTTTGCTACACACACTCAAACACACCTTCTCCTTGAGGCTGTTCACGTACAGGTCACTGTTAGCAAAGTAGATTGAAGAGTTGGAGTGGAAAATCTTAATCCCCTCATATTCAGCCGCCTGAGAACACAAACAGCAGGTCAGTGTGGATGTTTCACACGGAGCAGGTTTCTCTCCTCACACATTTACCTCTTCATACTCGTCGACGTCACAGTACAGCCCCGTGTTAGCGACGTGACCCAGGATGGAAGTTTTAGGGCTGGACGAGAAAGAGAACAGCTCAGAGCACAAATCAAACCTGAAAACTCTCACAGCTGCCTTTAAGCTCCAGTTCAAGGAAAAACACATATTCGAATCATTACCTCTGCGTCCTGTATATGACTGTCAATATGGCGAACGTGACGGCCACCAGGAGGCCGTAGTCCAGTCCCAGCAGCACAGAAGCGATAAAGGCAACCACCCAGATGGCCTGAGGACAAAAAAGAAAGTAACATGAAACTAGCATGAAGAGAAAGCGTTTTACATAAGCAAATGTCTTCAGACGACGTGCATCTATCTGATCGTTTCCACTCCTGCACATTATAGTCACACTTCTGTCTGCAAGTTCTCTCCACTGTGTTCACATACACACCTCTCAGAACAACGCTGCACTTTAAGTCAGCTAAGCTTGGTTTTAAAGACTGACCAGTTCAATCTTGCTGGTCCTCCACAGACTGGGAATGTCTCTGAACTGCTTGAACATCCCGATGAGGTTGACCATGATGATGGCAGCCAGCGCAGTCTGAGAAACACAAGCAAACATGAGCCAAAGAAGGTGTGTGCGGGCTCACAGGTCACGCCCAAACGTCAGAACTCACCTGAGGGAGCGGCTCGAAGACAAAGCCGACGGCCACCACCACCAGCAGCACCAGCAGCGACGCCAGGAGCCCTGCAATCTAAAGCACACACATAAAAAAGCAATAACTCCATCAACACACCTCTCACGCTAACAACAGCTTTACAGCACCAATTTAGATAGTGTAATCACTCCTGCAGCTCGTGCGTCACCTGTGTTTTGCCTCCTGTGCTCTCCTGGACCAGACTCCTCGACATGGAGCAGGTAACGGCAAACGTTTGGAAGAAAGAGCTGATGAAGTTACACAGACCGAGTGCGATGAGCTCCTGAAAGTGGACACGTGGAGGAAAACTGTGAAACACTGAGTCCTTCTGCAACAACACTTTCACACGTCACAACTCAGTGCTCAAGGAAATGAACAAGTTCCAACAAACTGGAACAATGAACCTTTTGTGAGCAGCATTTCCAACATCAGCGTGCAGAATAAAAATATAACTTTGCAACAAACAGCTAGAGGACGTCCCATCATCCAGAAGTGTTTTAAACATTTAGTCACGCACATGATGCCAGAGGCTCATCAGCAGCCGTGGACACACTCACCTGGTTGCCATCCACACTGTAGCCATGTTTCAGGGCAAAGATCTTGGCCAGCGAGACGTCCATGGAGAATCCTACAATTGCTATAGCAAAAGAATCTGTGACCAAATTGGGCAGCAGCGAGATGTTTGGGGCAGCAGGAGGGCGAAGCCTGTAACCAATAAGAGAACATCTGTCACATACGTGTAGAGAACACGAGCTTAAACCAAAAGACACTAAATCTCTAGAGTGCGGCCTACCCTGTTGGTATGTTCCCAACCACATGGACCTTGTATTGCTTTGATAACGACAAACCATAAGAGATGCCCGTGGACACGATGACCACGATGATCTCTCCAGGAATGGGAATGGGCAGCTTCTTCTTGAAGCGCTCGTTGAGAACTTTGATCGCGTAAAGGAAGATGATACACCCGAGCCCCAGAAGGAAAGTGGCAATATTGGTGCTGGTGATTCTGCTGAGCACTGCTTTGACGCTCTGCAGTGACAGAAAGGTAAGTGTTAGCGATTCATCGACCATTCTGGGAAGGAGAAAGACACGGCCTCTCAAAACTCACATAAATAGCAGAGAGAAACCCAGAATAACGCTGCGTTTCCACCCCCAGCAAGTACTTCAGCTGGGAGATGACGACGTGCATGGATGCTGCTGTGGTGAAGCCTCGCACCAGGGGCTCGGTGAGGTAGATCGCTACAAAGCCAAACCTGAGAAGACCTAAAACAATCTGAAAGGAATGCAGAAGAAGAGGGGCGTCACTCTGTTTTTAAAAACAATGTTTCATACAGAAACATCGAGTTGATACATCAACAGTGGTTCAGACATGCTGCTGCTGCTGTGGATAAACAGTGAGCCACGGCTGCTCTGTAGGAGGCTGACCTGGATGAGTCCCGCCAGGGTTGTGACCATCACGGCCACCTGGACCCTGCTCTTATCACGAAGCTCCACGTTGATGGCATCAGATGCGTTGGATCCAGTAGCATTGATATTCATAAACATGCTGTCTGGTGCCTCCCTCACAGCGACGCCCCCAATCATCAGACTTATGACAGCAAAGGTACCTGCAGGTCATCGACACAAACGCAGCGCTATGATAGGCCGGTTCGAAGCTGATGTCGAGTACACCGAGCTCTCAAACCCAGCACAGAAACTGGGTGGTGACGGCCTTTCCTCTCACCACCCTGTGACGGTAAAGGCCGTCCTGCCTCACACTTGAAAAGCAGCCCAATAAATCCTCTGGTTCTCTGCCAGAGGCGACCGTCATCACCACAGCAACCTGATGTCAGGCCAGATTTTGGCCAGCGGTGATTTACAATCTTTGCAGATTAGCTCCTCAGCTTCAAAGGGTTGAGCAGGTCTAGTTTATTGGACCCATTTGTTGGATGGATTTAAACTGACAATGGAGACAAGCGTGACAGCGTTGGAGAAAAGAAAGCAGCCAGATTGGTGAGACAGCTGCGGCTGGGTTTAATGAAATCTCAGTCCTGCTGCTCGTGTCAGTCTTTACGTAGTGAGAGGCAGCGAGTTTTACAATCCCAGGAAGATGTTAGAAAGTGAAGTTTTACAACATCTGTCAAGCTCAGATTTTAAAAACCTTCCACAGGAGACTGAGGGGTTACACTGTTACAGTTTCTGCTGTTTTGTTTTTACATTTACTAAACTTTCAAATTCACAAAAGTGATGTGGCTACATGCTGATTATCACTTAGAGACTAAAAACATTTAAACCTGCTTGGACTGAAACCAGAGCACAAGGTTAAGCCTCTGTGGGCAGTATTTACTTTAAAGGTAGAGGTCAAAGGTGACATTTGGATGCCGATGTGAGCCCCAGCATCACTTCCTCAATGTTAATCAGAATTTTAAAGACATTTCAGGAACGTTTGAAGATCAGGTAATAACGTCATATTTACAGTCCCATAAACACTCTCAGTGAGAAGGTAAGCAGCATGTATACAGCTGTCTGTGTAATATCAATACACGTGTATGAAGGAAGTTTAAGTTAGAAGGTTTTGTCAGTTTTTAACCAATAAAATCATTAGTGGAGCTTGAAGACCTGGATGTCAGTCAAATATGACTTAACATGACGTCACTCCCTCCACCCCCAAAGTTTCATCAGCATTCATCCTAAACTTTATACACACACACACACACACACACACACACACACACACACATCATGTGATAACGGGGTTTTCTTATTTGCTTTCAGACCCTGCACCTGTAGGTGGAGTCATCCACCTACAGGTGCACGCAGACAGAACCACAGCACAAACTACTGCAAACAGAAGAACATACGGTGACCTACAGAACACGCTGTGACGGGATCATCTGCCCTGTGGAGCAGGAAAAACTGAATCTCACTGCAGAGTGTGAGAGACATGAAGCACTGTGGGTTTAGTCTGTGGGACCACGGAGCTCTTTGAGTTTCTGTTCTTCACAGAGAAATATCCAAACCGTCGCACATACGAAGAGGACCACGAAGGTTTAATAAAAGCACAGCTGGCTTTAACAAAATGAAATGTAATATTTTTATGGCACCTGTCCTTTTTCAGGAAGCCCCTCCCACACACAGTTGCACTAAACCAAACATCACTGCAGCACTTTGCCTCCTTCCCGTTTGGTGCTGTTCATCAAGTGTGTGCTGTCTGATGACAGGCTCATAATGTGACGCGTTGTTTCCTCACCATGTGACAGTTTTACAGGAACACTTCCTGTTTGCGAGGTGCTTCATTGGGTCCAACTGTCAGAGGGACTCATAGGTCACAGCTGGCATTTGAGACTTGAACCCATTTCAAGGAAAGGAAGCTGTCACAGGGTGAGGTCGCTGAAATGTCACAATCCTCCCGTGAAAGCTAAGCACACAGTTAGCACAAATACAAGCATTTCCTCCACAGCTGAGTCACTGTGTAACCCAGTGCACCTCACAGTCACTGCAGACACAGCTGTGTGGAAAAGGACTCGTCGCCTGCAAGACTTTGATGTGGACTAAGAAATATATAAAAAGCTCAACCATGTAAAAATGACATCATCTTAACAAGCGAGAAAAGAAAACAGCTCGGTGCGTCTGAACGTCACCATCTTGGTGTTTTGAAAGCAGACACGAGGAACAGAGGGGACAATGATCGATTTCAAACAATAAATTAATATTTTGATAAATATGTAGGTCGGGGCATCACCTACATGTAGCTTCAACAGCAGAACATGAAGTTTTCTGTTGTGTGTGTGTTGGGGGCGGGGAGTAAATAAGAGGGCGGAGCTTATGGAACAATGACGAGCATATTGTAAATGTTTTCCTGTACGTGGGCAGAGCCGGTCACACAGGGCCATGAGGTCAGAACAGAGACTCTCTCACCTACTGATATGTGCCTGGACGTGCCGAAGAAGGTGTACAGCAGCACCGGGTAGAAGGAGGAGTACAGACCATAAACAGGAGGCACCGCAGCCAGCATAGCGTAGGCTAGTCCTGTGGAGCAGGGAACATAACACGTTTCCAAATAAACAATCCTGGAGGCTCAGTGACTCCATCACAGTGTCAAAGTGTCAGCGATGCCAAAACAGAGTCAGCATGAAGCAGAAACTGCTCCTCTGGAGCCGCCGCCGGCCCTGCTCGCAGCCTCGCTGCTTCGCACGGCGCTGCTGCACAGTTCACTGACCTTGTGGAAGCTGCACGACTCCCGTGCTGAGCCCTGAGACCACGTCTGAAAAGAGGTACTTCTTGACTGGATACGACGGCAGCCATGAGAGAATAGGCATGAAGCTCAGAGCTGCTGCCTTGGCCTTCTCTGAAGAACACCTGTGGATATTCAACACCAATCAGATTTTTAAAAGCCTCCACAGACGATACTCTGACCACAACGTTTTTCTGGAGTCGGCTTTCATGTTGTTGGCTGCAGGATTCAAGAAGCCCCCTCGTGTTAGCTGACCTTTGGTATGACTCGTGCTTCACAAAATCACTATACCTTTAAGAGCAGCACGTGATTCACACTGGTTAACAGATATTTGTTCATTCTTACACCACAGAAATATCATTTCAGTGATGTAGCAATGTTTGTTCACAACTTCACCCTCACTCTGCACTATAGCCAAGAGGTATGTAAGAAACATCAATGTTTTACAACATTATGACACGTTTGTTGTTCCCTCATCTCTATAAAATGACTGTAACGTGTCACTGTGTCGATTCCCGCCCTGAGCTCTGTCACACCCTCTGCCTCGCCCCCTGCGTCCTGTGGATGGTTATGAGTGCAGACCTGTTCTTCACTAACTCGCTTTGCTCGCTGTACGCTTCCAATGCACATCTCTGCTTTTGTATGAAGACCTCCTCCTCCTCAGCTGCCCCCCCCTCAGTAAGCCCTCCCACCTGTCTCAGTCCCAAATTGCCACCGAGCTGGCATCAGCATGTCATTTCCCAGCCGACTTGTTTAACCCCGACTTCTCCCCTTTTTGCTCGCCCAGCTGCATCAGTTCCCAAATAAAAAGCAGGGACAGAGGATCCCGGGTTTGTGCAGTTTAGCTCTGAATAACTTTTTCATTTTTAAATGTTAGAATGCAACATAATCTATTTGAAGATCAGTGTTGGAGCTTTGTTGCATTTTAATGTGTTTAAACGTCTTATTTTCCCACTCATCTAAAGGACATTTGAAGGTTGCACACCAACTCCCACAGATCCCACTGTCTTCTGCTTCAGTTCATACAGCACTCTGGGATCTTGTGTGTGGATCTGTGTCGATGCTGATCTGTTCAACGACATGTTAACAGGAAATGTCCAGAGAAAGACTTACTGGAACTTTTCTGCCAGCTTCTGACAATTTGTGGTGGTGTCTTCTTTGCGTTTAAGAAGCTGCGCCTGGATCAGAGTTTCATTGTAGACAGGACGCTCGATCCTGTAAATCAGCTGGGAGTCTTCATCCTCTCGAGCTGCTGCAGCCACCACTTCTTCTTCTTCTTGCTCCATGGTAGAGGCCGGAGGGCTGGCGTAGGATCTATGTCCCGTGTAGTTTATCTCTCCCGCTTTTTCTTCTCGGCTGGTATATCCTCATTCCTTAAACCTTTTCACAGCAAGCGAGGACAAGACATGACAAGATAGTTATGATTTCTACAAGCATGGCTGACGATAATAAGAAAGGCCTTTGCTATGCCGACAAAGAGATTTCAGTTTGATTTGCGATGCTGCAACTTTTGAGTAAATATTTGGACCAGCTTATGTAATGGCTTGCATTCAGTCTGATGTACTGGGGGAAAGGTTTGCTGAATAAATCATACAGCATAAAGTTTGCTCAGGGTAGGTGCACAGTGTTTTACAGCTGCAGGCAAACCTCTCTCCCAGAAGTCTTGCAACCACAGGTCTTCATGGACCACGATCGAGGAACAAAGCCATGCATGTGGGTAACGTTTATAAAAGAGGAAACACGTGGCTGGTCTGGTTAAGTACTTGGATTACAGCTCGACATGGTGCCTTCAAAGTCAATCCAAAAAAACAAAAAAATCAAATCTCTGGCTATGCAGATAAACAGTGAATGAAACTACTGTAATACTGTGAGAATAGCAGGCGACTGTTAGAAAGGTTAGAATACAGTTCTGTATTTGATATTTACATTAATCATTTATTAAATCTATATTTATTATTTTATATATAATAATATGCAAATGAGTAACACTTGCTTGTTTGTTACCCGTGTGTGGAACAGGTCCTGGACATTAACAGACTTATGTCACAGGTTTTATATATCATGCAGAATAAAGTCGGGTCTCCTGTTCAGTCATTCTCGCGCCGACAGTTGAACGCCTCGGGCTTCTTCCCGTTTCCTCTCCTCTGCTAGCTCGCTCACATCATGTTGTAAAAAGCAGCTTTGATACATTCAAAGCGGAGAAATTTTAATTAAAGGGCCAATATGTGCTACAGGTACGGCGAGCGTAACCACAGCAGCTCCCGTGGCTGTGACAGAAGCTTTCACCTCTCACAGGGAAACAAGCTAACTCAAAGATACTAGCAAAGATGCTTCGCTCACCTCCATCCTCCTCGTTTCCCGCCAGCTGCTAAGATGCTGTCGGCTCAAGGAGAACACAAGTACATAAACTGACCTCTCCGGTTGAAGTTTAACAAGGGCAACGTCCTTTAACTAGAGCACCAAACGCTGACGATAAACCACAGATAGGATGTGCAGACAGGATGAGTCCCTCTGATTAAAACTTTCTCGCAACTTCCGGTCCGCAAGAACGGGAGTAGCTCTGCACGCATGCGTTGTTGTCTTTATCATCCCACTTTGTAGTCCTAAAACAAAGGGCAGGCCTACTTTACGTTCTTGCTGTGCTTTAATATCAGTGCTAGAAGACAGAAAGGAAAGGGGACCTTTACATTTTAGCAGTTTTTGTCTAAAAGGTTTTCCAAACCTGGCATTTCCTGTTCTCTCTCAAGATAAATACCAAATATGGCAGGCACATTTATTACAGACACACATCTACTGGAGTCAGAGTGGGAGCTCTCGTGTTTGGGGACAGGGGGTGGATGATGAAAGCAGAAAGTGTTTGACGTGTGGCAGGCTCGGCCCCCTCCTCCCGGTGCCGTGTTGGTCACAACACGTGCTGCAGCCAGGATTCGGCTTTGGAGTGAGCACTCTGTAACTGTAAATGAGAAATGACTTTAGTTGAAGTTTATTTATGGTCTGTGTGAAATCACAAGACTGCAGTCAGAGAGAAAGAGCGCTCAGAGAAAGCTGCCGTGCTTTCAGGGAGACTTTTCTCTTGTGTGAAGTTACTAAAGATGAATCCGTCCTCACTCTGACCGTCAGCTGTACTCGGCGCAGCCGCAAACTGTTTGTATGCCTAAAGAAAAGCCACGTCCAGTTTATTACAGGTGAACTATGCCTTAACAGCTGTGTCGACAAATGTGTCTTTTTTGCACTGAAAAAACTCTGGGTGGTAAACATCTCATGAACAACAGCAGAAAGTCACACAGCAGTCTGAGTATAACCAAATATCCCAGCTCCAACAGAGCAAAAAAAGTAGGTTAAGCAAAGTTTGTTTGTCCTCTGCTGCACAACCTCTGCACAGGGGTGTGCTTGCTCGGGTTTAACAGGTATTGATCAACGTGAAATGGCTAGATAGAACTTTTTTTAGTATTTTATTTTGAACTAAGTGAAAATAAAACCAGAGAAAACTCTGCTAATAGTCAGTTAAGTTGCTGAAGCAGGGACCGAGGGAGCTGCAGTGGTGCTCTCAGCTGAGTTTAAGTGGCTGGTTTGGCTTCCACTTTCCCCTCATGGACTATGGAACTAACTCATGTTTAAAAGTCCATCCATCTTCTTCCGCTTTATCCGAGGCCGGGTCGAGGGGGCAGCAGCCTAAGCAGAGAGGCCCAGACCTCCCTCTCCCCAGCCACCTCCTCCAGCTTATCCGGGGGAACACCAAGGCGTTCCCAGGCCAGCCGAGAGAT